AAGAAATAATAGTTACATACTTTAAGTAAAAATGAAACTTTCATAATCTCTTTAATTTATAACACGTATTACGCATAAAATGTACATTTTTTTTTGTTTTAATGTAGATTTATTAAAAAAAAAAAAACCGAGCCTGCTCGGCCCGCTAAGGCTCGGGCCGAGCCTCATTTTTTTGGCCGGGCCCGGCTCGACTCTGTCCAAAAAAGTTCGGGCCGAGCCCAAGCTTTTTTTTCCGACTCGAACTCGGCTCGACTCGTTGTCACCGCTAGCAATGAGCTGTTCTATTATTTCTAGAAGTATATTTTAAAGAAGACTAAAGTATAATAATTTTGAGTCTACGCGAAATTTAAATAAGCTTTTTAGTATATCGATTTTTAATTTGCACTGCTTTAAGAGAGAGAGAGAGAGAGAGAATCATTTCATTTTCATTTTTTTTAGGTAAAGAAGCATGGAGAATAAAGTTTTTTTTTTTCTTTTTAATATTTGCATATATTAATTATTTTGGCAAAACAGATTCCAGCAGTTGGCACCTCCATGTCCATGACAACAATTATCAAATTAATGCAGAATATTAATACTGCTCCCCCACCCCTATGATAATCGATTGAAACAATTATTATATCATTTATTATTTGTTTTAAGAGAAAATTACCAAGACAAGTCACCCAATTTTTCAAAATCATTTGTTTAATTTGATAGAGAATCCTAGCTAAATCATGAAAGAAGATTCTAGGGTAATTGGCACAAAACGTCCTTATCTTTGACATGTATTGTGAAAATCGTTCATATCTTTCATTTCTTGACATTTATATCCTTATCTTCAACGTTTCGTGCGCCGAATGTCATTTTCACCATGTTTTGACGATTTCACCCTCCTAATCAAATATAACAAAAGCGATAGAAAAGAAAAATAAAGAACACGTTGCAATTATGTGTCCAAACTTTTTAAAATGCGCAAACGAGTCCAAATTTGAAAAAATCATCACCCCTAAGCCGCCACCTTTGAAGCCAAAAATCCCCAGCAAACCACCGCCCAAACCACCGGACCTTCATACCATCGGAAAGCCATCACTTCCCTCTACACATACCACACAACATCCAACCTTTATGCCAACAGGTTTGGTAGAAATTGTAAGCCAAAATACCTTACTCACGAATGCAAAAACTGTCGGCACCACCTATTCCAGTGATACCTAAGCCATTCCCAACATTCCAATCGATTCTACACACCAATACATCCCTGTCCATGGTCCTCAAGCGTCCTTTAATGCACACAATCAAACCCAACAGGCTGCAGTTTCGAACACAGCCGCTACGCAGCTTTCAGGAGATTTTTCCGGCACCGGTGGTGGGACCCATGATCGCGGACCACCACCTCAGGTTCCTACTCTTCATGGCACATCCAATGAGCATATGAGTCTTCCCCAATTTCGCCTGGACATGACAGTTCATTCATAAGCTGAGAAGACAATCCAACCGTTTCAACCCCCTTTCAATTGATGTTCCTCCACAACTCCAATCAACAAATTGCTCTAATCAGCATACAATTCAAGGTGTAATGACTTTAGGTAGGGAATCAATTGCTGTAATTCACCACTCAAACGAAGCAATTTTGGATTTGACCTAAAAAACTTCCCACTTGGCCGAGGATAATTTCTATTGATTTTGCCCATATAATTTGTTGTTTGATTGGTGTGTTTATGGGTATGTGTAGAGGGGAGTGAGTGCTTTCCGATGGTATTGAGGTCCGGTGGTTTGGGCGATGGTTGGCCGGGGATTTTTGGCTTCAAAGGTGGCGGCTTAGGGGTGATGGTTTTTTAATATTTGTGACTAATTTGGACCTTTTTAAAAGTTTGAATCCATAATTGCAATTAATTCTTTATGGATTTTTGGCATTGTAAACGTCATAAATATAACCATTGATTGGTCAGATTATTAGCCATGATATTTTTGACAACAGTATGAAATGCACACATATAAAGCTATTTCACCCGTGTTGGTTCACATTTCTAATACTTTCGTTAAAATAAGAGAATATTGGAATTTAATCTATTATCTTATTCAAGGATTTGACATT